TTATTATTATTATTATTATTATTATTATTATTATTATTATTATTATTATTATTTGGAATGACCCTTGTATGAGGAAGTCAGTATGTTAGAAAGTTCTGTTCTTGCCTCATTTGTTATAGCCCTTAGGAAGGATAAGGGTGGGTGCTTTGTAAGTGCTTTTTATATAGCTTTCAGAGCTCTTTCTGCCAAAACAAAAGCAGGCCTGGGAATTTCTGTCAGGGAGTTGAGAGAGTGAAGACTCTGGGAATTTCCACACTACTTAAATGCATTTAAGAATTAATACCTGGAGCTGGCGAGATGGCTTAGTGGTTAAGAGCACTTATTATTCTTGCACGAGGTCAGTTCTAGTACCCCTGTGGTGGCTCATAACTCCTGCCTGTAACTCCAGTTCTAGGGAATCTGAAGCCTCTTCTGGCCTTTGTGAGCTTCTAAAAGCATATAGTGAACATTAAAATTCACACACACGTACAGTACACACACACAAACACACACATATGAAAAAGAATAAATACCTGAAATGTGCCCATAGTTCCTTTTTATTCTTTTCATATTAATGTCCTCTTATCTTTCTCAGAGGGTCCTGTTGTAAGCACTAATGTCTCCGTGCCATTGATGTTCAGAGGGGAAGAAGTGGCCGAATTCCCACAGGAAGAGTTGCCTGTTAAACTGTCTCAGGGGCCAGCCCCCACAGAGAACTTGAATCTGGCCAGTAATTTCCCAGCACATATTTTTGAGCCAGCTGTGATGCTAACACCACCCAGGCAAAAGAGCAATTCGGAATTCTCTCCTCTGCAGGATGGTAAGCATGCTTCTATATTTACATGGAAGCTGTGATTTTCGCCCTTCACTCAAATGATAGATGTATGTAATGAGTTGTACATATATGTATATGCACACACACACATTTATACATAAATATGCACACACATGCATGGATGCATGTATTTTTAGGGTAGTTTCCCTGCACCCTGCCATAACTCTGAAAATCACAGATAACTTGAAGGAGGAAGGACTTACTTTTATACACAGGTTCAGTGGTCCGTGGTCAGCTGGCAGAGGAGAGCTGCTCACCTCACGGCAGCCCAGAGACAGAGAGTGGGAAGAAGGATATGAAAAACTTCACTCTTCAAAGGCATACCACTGTGTGTGTGTCTCTCTCTCTCTCTGTGCACATATGTGTACCATGGTACACATATGGAGGTCAGAGGAAACTTGTGGTCATGATTCTTGCCTCTTCCACTCTGTGGGTTCTGTGTATCACATTCAGGTCATCAAAGCCACTGAGCTGTGTGTCACTGGTCCTCTACAAAATTTTTTGATTATTTGTATTTGTGTGTGTGTGTATTTGGTGGGGGGGGGGGTTCCCTTACCCATGTGATCCTGTGTAGATACCAGCAGCCAGTGACATCAATTATATTCCTTTATCACTCTTCACCTACTTTAAAAATGTAATTAATTAATTTTGAGTGACGGGTGGGGGAGTACTTGGATGCTGTGGCTTGTATGTGGAGGTCAAAGGACAACTTTGGGGAGTCAGTTATCTCCTATGGGATCTTAGAATGGAACTGTAGCCTGTGTGCTGCTGAGACAGCTTTCAAGCTCCTTTTTGAAAGATATTTTTTCATCCCTGTTTTGCATGAATTTTTACTTCTTTAAAAGTTACTAATATTTTCTTGCAGAGCAGTAGAACCTAACTTATTATTGGGGCTCTAAGTTCCTCAGATTTTGTGTGCTTTGATGTGTTTTCACTAAAGGAACTAAAGAGGCTCCACAGGTTAAAGAAAATGGTAAATCCTTGTTACTAGAATTGTACTCTTCTGTTTCTGAGGCACATAGGGCGTTGTCAGATCATCGAGGTGGAAATGGAGAGGGTGCTGGGCTGAGAGTCTAGTGCCGGTAGCCCACACACTCCTCATTCACTTTGGGGAGCTTTGGGATGAGACACCTCTTCTGGGCCTCAACTTTCTTATTTTAGCATATGAAAATTTCTTGTCTCTTCCAGCTTTCTAACTCGGTAATTTAATATTTCTCAGGGGTCTGGGGAATTACTATGTTCTGTTCATATTAGATTTGTATTCCTTGCAGTAATTATTCAATCTCCCCCACTCCACCCCCCACCTCTACACACACCAGTGTCTCATTGTATAGCCCAGGCCGGCTTTAACCTCATGATCATTCCTTCTCATTTGTGATTGTATGCATACATCACTACTCCTGGACAGGAGTGACATGTGTCAAAGTATATTAAAAACCACTATGACACATGGTTTTTCACAAGAATGTTAATGAATGGTCTCAGGAATATGAAAGTTTCTATACTTGATTGCGCATATTCCTCTTTTTTTTTTTTTTTTTTGCCATGAGGTGTATTTTAATTTTATCAACCATAAAAATAGTTTTCTATATTATTGCAGGGCAAGCCAGTGAAATTTGGCAGTCTAATTAGTAGGGCTCTCCTTTCAGAGACCTGTGGGCTGGTGGCATTGGTGCGGAGTGCCTGGGTTCACCATGCAGCTTGTGTCTTGCATCCATCTTGTAGGTAGTGCTTCCTCCACATCACAGGGTGTCTCAGCGATGACACTGGGCGGGGAAATCCTCTGAGGCTTTTAGGGAATTTCACTCCCCTTTTCCTGTTGAGTGGGCCTCTTTGTCTGCAGGGTGTTCTCCTGTGTCTTGGTTTTCTTCAGCGTGGCCTTAGCAAAGCTGGCGATTTCCTCTATGTCTGATTTGTCTGCTATTTTCCTGTAACCCGTGGAGTCTCCTTCTGAGCTAGCACTCCAGGTGCTCCCGCTCGCATTGCTGCATCAAGAGAGTGTACATATTCCTTTATAAGAATAAATAGGACTCAGAAACCAAACCCTTCGATTTAAATACTTCCCTAACTACTGTGACAGAGTAATGTACTAATTATAGTACCAATTTATTGGAAAATATGATGTTTATGCTTGCTTTAAAAACCCTGTCTGCAGTGTTGAGGAGAACTGTTCAGACTCGTCCTGCCCCACGAATCCCTCCCACTGTGGAAGTCATAGAGAAGGAGCAGAACTGGGAAAAGAAGACCTTGCCTATTGACCCAGACATTCAGAACTCAAGTGAGGAGAATCATCTCTTCACGCAGAGGTGGAGAGTCTCCCACATGGGAGAAGATTTGGAGAACAAAGCGCAGCCACCATTTGTTAACCTGTCACAGCCCCCTTGCAATTCCCTTCCCACCACTCAGCAGTCAAGAAACCCTACGTTCTCAGAAGAGCCCTCAGTGCTTGGAGATGGGCAGCAGCTTAGGGCAAATGAGGCACTGATACAAAGGAAGGCCGTAATGGCACGGATTGCAGAGTTGACACTGCAGAATTCAGCCATCAAGGCACACCTGAATAACATCACCAGCTCAGGGGGAGAGCAAGGGGATGGACTTCGGGAGCAGAGCAAACAGGGAAGTGTCAGCAGCGACATGCCCTCTGTAAGTACCAAGCAAGGGTGAGTAGGACACAGCAGGAGTTCAGGTTGGGCACTGTGTTAGACCTTTCACTGTGGTGACAAATTAAACAAAGGGACTAAAAATTTGTTTTCACTCAGAACTCTGAGGTTTCAGAGGGCTTATTCATGTGGCAGAATCTGTTGCCCTGGACCTGGGGTTAGACAGACTATCATGGTGGCAGGAACACGTGGCAGAGGCTACCGTCTCATGGTGGCCTGGAGGGTCAGAGGACGAGATACATCACTTTAAGATGTGCAGGTGATGAAATTCTTCCAGCCAAGTCCTACCTTTCATCGTCTCCCCAGGATACTATTATGTTTAGGATCCTTTGTGGATCAACCCTTGACTAAAGCTCTCAGGAGCCAGTCACTCCCCAAGCTCCAGCTGGCAGGCAAGCCTCCATTATAATGGAGTTGTTCCATTTCATATTCAAGCCATAACAAGCATCCAAAGAGATCTCTTTTTAGAAGTGACTCTGTAGCTTTGATATATCTTCACAAGACAGATAAAACTTATTAGTTTGTCTTGCACTATATTAAGATAACATGAAACAATAAATATATGAATGAAGAAAATAGAACTAAGGTAAAATGTGTAGGAGGGCTAAGGATAAGCTAGGGATGAATGACATGGAATTAGAAGGACATAGAATGCTACTGCACAACTAGATTTTAAATAAAAGTAACTTCGCTCTTTTTTGTTTTTCGAGGCCAGTGTGTGTGTGTGTGTGTGTGTGTAGCCTTGCCTGTGTTGGACTTGCTTTGTAGACCAGGCTAGCCTCAAACTCGCAGAAATCCACCTGCCTTTGCCTCTGCTGGGATTACAGGCATGCACTGTCGTACCTGATTGTGACTTTATTCTTGCTGTTGCCTATTAAAAATTAGTTGGCTCATAACTCTTGAATAACTTTTTTCTGTGGCATGGAGTGGGTTTTCCTATAGAAGTTAAACTTAAAGAAGAGACTCTAACGTGCATAGGAACCATCTGAGGAGCTTGTTAAAATGTAGTTCCTGGCTGAGTAGGCCTGTGCCTTTGTAATAGTCCTTCCATGACACCAGAGCTGCTGGTCTGTTCACGTTCCGAGGAGCATCATTCTTACATTTAGAGCAAGATTATTTTTTCCTGTGTAACTAGTGCCAATCATGGCTCAGTACCTCTAATCCTCAAGAGACTGAGGCAGGATTGATGTGGGTTTGAAGACAGCCAGGGCTACTTTAGTGAGTTCCAGACCTATAGTTTGAGACTTATCTTTTAAAAACAAAACAAAAAAGAAAAACAAACAAACAAAAAACCCAGCCCTTCCCAAAACAAAACAAAAACAAACAAAAAACCCTAACTATTCTTAGTCCCCAGTGGAGAAGCTTCTCCGCCCCTTCTTTCTCTTTTTCCCCAGCTCTGGTGACCACTCTGAGCTTCTGTGAGATCAGCCTTTGTAAACTCTCCACATGAGTAAGATTGTGTGGATTTGTCTTCCAGTCAATGAAGACATTTTGTAAGTGAAATAAAGCTGATGGACCAATCTGATAACTTAAACCTTTATTTCATTGTTTGTGGAGAGAAAAGATGGAGCATCGGCAGTGGGCAGCAGCCATCAGTACAGGCATAAGTGTGTTCGCATATTACGTTATATGTTTGTAGAGTTTTGAAGATCGTTTGTAACAGACCACTGTTGCTTTTAAATAGGTAACACAGTTAAATGTTAAGCTTGTGTCCTTTCTAAATACTACGTACACCAGCCTGGAAAGGAAGGTCTAATACTGCTGCCCTAATTATCCCCATTTTATTTTACTTGGAAATACAAAATAGCCTTTGATTATTATTAGTTTGCTTATCTTAAAAAGCAAAACAAACAAAAAACCAAACCAAAATAAAAAAATCCAATAGGTATTAGTCATTCAAATTAGTCATTTTTATCAGGGATTAGTTTTTCCCCACAAAGGGATATATTTATCTAAACAAAATTATTAATAGTGGAAGTATATTTTTCCTGTAGTAGCTTTTAGTTTTTTAAATTTTATTCCTGTAGTAACTTTTAGTTTTGTTTGGGCTTTTGCTGTCTTATGCACCTTTCTAATCACAGATACTCTTAAATCAGATCTCTGAAGCTACAAGGAGCCTGGAGAGGCAAACAGTGGGCAGGCGTAGTATTTTTAAGAGTCTTGTTTGAAGATTGAAGTTGTAAAAACATCTTTTCTCAAATTCAGAGATATTCCTGTGAAGTCTGTCCCATTCTCGTCTGTCATCAATAGGCTTGTGCTATTTAACTCAGTGGGAGATCTTTGTTCATGTGTAGTAAGAGATGCAGGGAAGCTTTTCCCATTAGACTGTGCTCATTCGGCTGTTGATGAACTTGTGTATGCCTTTATGTTAGCCCTCATTCTTCAGTTAAATGACTTGTAAACTATTTACCCCATCATTCATATGTGTGGCTTATAAATACTGAATTGCTGGTATTTAGTATAAATATCAGAATCGGTATTTTTTTTTTAAATAATGTATTTCTTTTTCCCCCCCTGAAGAATTTCCCAGCAGCTCAGTCTCTAACGCCAAGTAGCATGGAGGAACGGATTGCAGAGTTGAACCGACAGAGCATGGAGGCTCGCAGCAAACTGCTCCAGCTGATAGAGCAGCAGAAACTTGTTGGTTTGAACCTGTCCTCTTCCCCAGTGTCACCTGTCCAATCATCTGTCAGAGTGTGGGCCGGTGGGTCACAGATTCCTGATTTACAAACTATAAGTATGGTTTTTCCTCTCAGTTTTGAAAGTTCATATTGAGTCAAAAGAACTTCAGAGCACACTATTCCAGTACCCCAGTTTTGTACCAGAAGAACCTGGTTTGGGTCAGAGAGTTAAGTGACAGAAATAGTGGTAGAAAGCTGTCTCTTGTTCTATAGCCAGTCTTTGGTGTCAGGGGAGACACCATTCAAGTGAAATATTCATTATAACATATGATTCACTTAGGATATATGCTGCATAAAGTATAAGCATCAAAATTAAGAGTATAAATGTTTAAATCACAAATTATTGTTCTCTTAAAAACCAGGAAAACATATCCACTCTATTTTTTCCATTAATTTGTTACATTTAGGAATATGAAAAACTAGAGAGGCCTCTTTAAAAAAATTGAATTGTAACTGAAGAATGTGTTTTCATAGTAGTCCTGTTCAAAGAGTGCTGATTAAATGAAGTATCTCTAAGTTGGCTTTAGTCAGAAATTAACTTATGCCCTCAGGGTGATGCTACATCAAAGGTATTGATTAGAGCCCAGTCTCAGGCCAGATTGTGAGGAATGGAAAGGCTCCATCAGTGGTGTCCCTGAGATGCTTAAGCCTTGGTGCTTCTAGGGACCTGAGTGTCCTATCTAGTTGGGTGAAGTCAGTTACCAGAAAGGAATTTTCACCTCTTGGAAATTATTTATTTTTTTTAAATTATGAACAAGAAAGCAGACTCTCGGGAATTAATAGAAAGTAATTCTTTTCCCCAAAAGCCTTTCCTCTGGGTTTATTCTCAGCTTCCTCAGTTGACAGGTGTCTGTCTTCAGTTTTTCATAGTCATGAAGGCTGGAGGTGAATTCTGGTTCATATAAATAAATTGCTCAAATACATATGAGCCTGCAGTGTATGGTGTTAAATACCTCAGCACCAAGCTGGGGATCACACAGCAAACGTAAGTGTAGGAGAAAATGTTAGCTGGTTTTGAGGATAGTGGGAGCGTAAAGCAGATCAGCCTCCAGTGTGATTCTGTGATTGAGCACAGCATTGCCTGTCATGGTGTTCTGTAAGTTTGAAATTTACCTTATTTCTGTTTTCTCATTCAGTACTCAACACACCCAAAATAGAATTCTTGGTTCTATAGGAACCTCTGTGGGGTATAATAAAAATAAAAATAAACAATATGTCATGGGAAAAAAACCTTTTGTTTTGTCGGATAACTGAGGATTTAAAAAAATTAACTAGCTTTGTTCTTTGACAATTTTATATATGTATATAATACATTCTGGTTCTTCTCCCCTTCCACTCTTCTCTTTTCTCTGACACCCCTGTCAACACCCTGGCTACAGGTCCCGTTCTTATGCTCACAACTTTTTTGTTTTTGTGGCTGACCCACTGATTTCAAGAGTGGTCCAAAAGACCTTGGGTATGGAACTTTCCCACAGAGCCTGGTGGGCCCCCGGTGTGTACATAACTAGGGATAGTAACACCCCTATCTCCCAGAATCCAGCATTAGCCAGTATTTCAGCTGATAAAGGTAAGGCTCCGCAAGCCCCCCACCATGGCAAACTATGGACAAGTCCATCCTTGTGCAGGCCCAGTTAACAGGCAACCACAGCTGCCGTGAGTTCATGATGTCAGTGCCTATTACATTTGTTCCACTCCTCTTCCATGACAGTTCCTGAGCCTTGGGGAAGAAGCTATAAATGTCCTGTTAAGAATACTGACTCTACCATCTCTATTCTCAGTAGTGTGAGTGGCCAAGGGGCTGCATTCACTGTGGTTCTCTGCAGAGCCAAGCTGCTCTGAATGAGGCTAGGACTAGCATCTTTCAGTGGGTTTTATTAGATATTGAGATAGGCAGCTTGACATAACAATTTGGCCAAACAATAGTAAGTCTCTTCTACTCAGGACCTGTGACCTTCCCAGCCATGCGGTTTTGCTCAGATTTAGAGCACGAGGCATGGTTTCTAATATGGCCAAAGCAAAGTCTAATTATGTGAATTTTCCTAAGTAGGTAAGCAGTCAACAAACATGTATTAGTAGAATACTTTATTTAGTCATAGAGGATCCTGTAACTCATTCTTAAAATCAAAGATTACATAGCTGTAAGGGTAAATGAAATGCTATTTAATTTTATCCAATTGAAAAATTAAACTTTAGCCTTAATTTTTAAATTTAATTTAAAAACGTCTTTGACAATTTCACAAATACATTCATCCTAATGATGTTCACCCTCCCCTCCTTTCTTTCACCAACCCTCCTGATCCCCAGTATATCTTAGGGCTCACTGTTTTTCACTTCTTGCTCTGATGTGATACCACTTGTCAGAAGATTCTGGCATTCTGTTAACTGGAATGCTGCCAAGTTGACAGACATAGCTTGTCTTAACAGTTCATTTTTACAAAGCATCTCTCAAGTATCATGATAAAAATATATAAATACCTAAATTTGTAATGTATAATTTCAAATAATATTAAAATTGGGCAAAATTGTTATTTTATTAGTGAAAAGTAACAAAATTAAAGTTTATTTTTATATTTTAGAAGAAGGAAAGCGAACCATTGATGTATCTGTTCCAATAGCAGACGCTCCAGAGAGTTCGAAATGCAGCACTATCTCCCCTGTTGGTGGGATCAACTCAAGAAGGTAGGGTGACAGGGCTGCTCCTCAAAGCTTCAAGAGTGTATTTATGGCTACAAAATTAGGAGAGGCTATAACCAGCGTCGGTTCATTGGCTAGAGGCCCTCTCAGCCCTTGCAGTAAGTAAACACGAGGCTGATTGGTCTAGATGAATCCCTGGATTGGTAAGCGGGTCAGGAAGAAGTTCGCTGGCTTTTCTGTCTCCACATTGCATCCCTCTATTGTAAGTCTTGCTCTAGTTCTCATCGCTCTTGGCTACCCTGACCACCTTCACCACTGCCGTCTTTAAAAATAGTACCCAAATGATACTATCTGGAAGGCACGTGCGGTTAGCTGTCATAATCCACAGAATCTGTCATACAGAGAGAACCCCAGTGGATCCTGGACTTCTGTTAATAACGAGTCAGTGTTGGGTGGTCAATTCTAAGCTGTCCCTTCAAGATGTTGTAAGTAAGAGAAGTGTGCTAAGCGATGGAGGTGAGGGGCACCTAAGAAAGATGAACTTTCCGCCCTTTCTGTCATCTAAACCACTCTAGGTAGTAAACTACTGGTTTAAGTTTTACGTTGGTGAAGTGTTAGTTAGGACCTGTCATTTGGACCTGTCAGCCAAACCTTTTCAAGCTCTTTCCAGTATTGAGAGCAGTTACACACCCTTGTTGATGGCTAGTGGTGACTGCCTGCTTATTTCTTATGGACAGATCTTCAGGAACTACTAGCAATTCTTGTTCTCCACTAAACGCCACCTCTGGAAGTGGGAGGTTCACGCCTGTTAATCCAAGAACAAAGGTACGTTATAAAATATAATCAGTAGGGTTCAGAGGGTGTGTGTAGAAGGTGGCTATCTTCTGAGTTATTATTCCTGTTGTCCTGTTGTTGCATGATATAAAAATCTGCAAAGAAAAGAAGTACTGTATTTTATTTTTATTTGAAAACAATAAGCCTTAATTTGTCTTGTCTTCTATGGTAACTAAAAAAAAATAAGTTAAAATTTGGTAGGATTCCAATTGTCTTCGGAGACTAAGAATTACTGGTCTCAGGCCTGCTTCCTGAGTAGCATGGCATTGGGTGGGTTGCAGATGTGAAGGGCTGCGCCCACCATTGTCGGTGTGACTGAGTGGAGTCTGGGGTAGCCAGAGCCCTGGGTCTGGGTACTTTACCCAGGGTGCCTCGTCTGAGGGCGCCATTGTTAGACAGGTGACGACACATAGGCTGGGAGAAGGCGCTGCACACTTTCTTATGTCCCCATTTGCTCCAGACTGCCTGGAGGCTAAACATTTACAGTTTATTTAGGTTTTTCACAGAAGGCATTTTTATGTGTATTGATAATGTAGAAGAATACAGTTCTTCTGTATTTATCATAGAAAATTGTGAAACTATTTATAGAATTGTAAAATTGTGTTTTCAGAGGTAAGCTGGTAACAGATATGGGGATATTTCCCCAGATAACTAACCACCTTAGTTAGTCTCCCCTGTTGTCTGGCATTAAATATTTGTCCTTTCTGATTTTTACATTCTGAAAAGCTTAAAAAGTTATCTCTTTGATATAGTTCCATGGTTCATTTAGTATCATTTAGTTTGCTAAAATCCAGTAATTTTACTTTCATCATGTTTCAGATTGTATCTAAAGTTTGAATAAATGTTGAATTTCTCCCTTTTTTAAAGATATATGTATTTACACACATGAGCACTCTGTTTGCATGTACGCCTCCATGACAGATGAAAGCATCAGATCCCACTATAGGTGGTTGTAAACCACCATGTGAATTGCTCCTTCTTTTAAAAAGTTAGGGCGTTACCAGGACTCCTGGTGTCTCTGAGGTCAGGAGCCTTGCCAGGAGAGCTGACATTCCAGTGCCACTTAACATGCATGCAACTTTGTTGAAGATACTTGCTCTAACTGTCTGTGAGTGGTCTCGTGTCTAACTCATCTCTGCATCTTTGTTCAACAGACTGAAAAGCAAAACGAAGAAGGCTGGTTTGCTCTTTCTACCCATATGTCATAAGTAGAGTCCAAGTGTTCTCAGTGACATGTTCCTGGCTTTCCCTTCCCACCTTTTGGATTTTCTTTTCAAGTTGTGGCAGTTTTCTTCAGACGAAACCTGCAAAGATATCCTATATTTATGGGAACAAATATTTTAAAGAAACAATTATTTTAATACTTTCTTTACCTTTTCAAATAGATTTTTCAACAAAGCATCTAACCCATGAATTCCCTGTGACTAAAACTCTGGCTGTAAAATTAAAATTTTATATTTGATTAACCTTGTTAAACTTTTTAGTAATACATTGTTACCCTTATCATTGCTGTTGAAGGTTTTTGTTTTTGTTTTCTGCGTCTTAAATGTGGATCATCTTCCCAGAAGAACTGATTTGCTTTATGTACAATTAAATTTTCTGGCTTTCAAAAAATGTGGTATTTTCTTTTCTGCTATCCATCATTTCAAATTAAATGTACAGCTTTAAAAGACCAAAAGGCTGAGGCTGGGCTGTCTACCTATAATCCCAACATTCGAAGCCAGAGGCAGGAGGCTCTCTATTATAGAGTGCATTCCATTCCTCCTGCTTACAAGGCAAATGCTTCACCCACTGGGCCATCTTCCTAGCCCATGAAGGCTTCTTTTAAAAAATATTTATTCTTTTAATTTTTTTATATTTATACAATGTATTTTGCTCTTACCCATCCATTACTACCTCCCGTGGACTCTTCCTAGTGACTTTCTTCCTGTCTTCCTCCCTGCTTCATGTTTATTTTGTTGCTCAGATGCAGGTGGGTGTGGGGCCACCCACTGGGGCATGGACAACTCACCAGAAGCCAAGTTCCTCAAAGGAGAGTTAGCCTCCTTTGCTCGGGAACAGCCACTCTGTTGTTCCTGCCCTGGCAGTGGGGCCTTGGGTCCTCTTCTTTGTATCTGCTGGAAGTTCGTTCTTGTACAGGTAACCACAGCTGCTGTGAGATGATGTGCACAACAGCCGCGTGATGTCCAGAAGTCAGCATTTCACTGCTTTCCTCCCCACCTACCTGTCTTTCTGCCCTTCTGTCATGTTCTTTGAGCCTTTGATGGGCGGTGTTGACACAGATGATGCATCCGCAGCTGAGCATACACTTAGATACTAGTCTTCAGCATCTCGTACAGTGAGCAAACAATGTCATGGAAATAGCCCGTGTTTTAGGATATTTTGTCACCTCCCTGACCAACATCTTAGATTATCCCGTGCTAGCATTGAGATTTGCATTTAAAAACCAGTGCCTTCTGGGAACAGCATTGTCCACCCATGAATGCATTCTCTGATACATGTTTTCCTAGATGTTTTTCTAGCTTTAGTCCCCCATCTCCCATACACCTTTAAACCCTGGAAGCCATTATTTTCAATTCAAATGCTTTAGATTTTTCCCCCTCTTAATGCTGTTGCTGCATGTATCCACATGTGCGCTCGAGCAACATATACACGAATGCAGGAGAGTAGCAATCATTTAACAAGTTAAATAATGAAAAAAAGCCAATTCTTTCAATAGTTTAGACCTCTGTTTTCATCTGATCCTTTGAGCTAGAATTGTACCTAGGACCAGCCTTCAAGCAGAGTTAACCCCTGGACTTGCCCACTCCCATTGTGTACTTTCCTATATTCTTTGAGGACCATCTTTTTCTGTGCATCTAGGTCCTCTCGGGACACTTGGTATGCCCTGGAATGCTCCTAACTAGCACCCCTATTCATTAGCGCAAACAATTCTGGAAATAAACTGTCCAAATGTGGCACAGTACCTTAGCCGCATTGTCAGGAACCCAGCCTTCTAGACCCTCCACAGTTTTAGCTTACCTGGCTCCTTGTCTCCTGGTTGCAGTCCTGTTCACACGCTCCAAAGGTCTCATCCACACTGGGAACATAGAATAGTGTCAGCAGTGTCTATTCCCTTTTCGTTAGTGAAGAAAAACCTTCCCTAGAAATCTCCAAACTGTAAGGAAATTGGGGGTGGGGGGTGGGGGGTTTACTAAAACTAGAACCCTAGAAACAAGAATCAACTGTTGCCTCAATTAGCTAGAGGCTGACTGGTATAGACGACGAGTCACGGTCGGAAAACACCTCCCTGCTCGGAAGCAAGTGAGGCTTCCTGCACAGCATGATGTGATGTGATGTGAACCTGACGACACACCGCTGAGGGACGGGCACCTTCTGAGGCCAGACCCTGTGAACTGCTGCATGTAGGGGTTGTAGCTGGCTCCGTGGCTTCGTGTTCCATAAACTGTGGACATGAACTGGAGACTACTGTTCTGGGTAACTCATCACAGAATAAGGGTAGAGAAGATATGTCTGACACAGGCTGTTACAAATAAGCCTACTCTGAAGGAGGGACAAGTATTTTGTCTTGGCTACAAAATTAGAAATGAAATTGCTGCCTTAGATGACTATGCGGGTTTGAATTTTAAGAAATTGTTAGGTGATTTTCTGACATTCCATTTTACAGCCTTAGTAGCAACATGTACTTTCTCTTATTACTCCAAATCTTACCCAATATTTTGATCCGTCTTTTTACTTTTTCTGTGGCCGAGTTATATCTTAATTTATGTTTTCATCCGTGATGGTGACGCTTCACTTACTTTGGTCTGTTCATTGGTATTTATATGCCTTCTTTCAAAAGCAGCTTCAAAACTTTTTGTTCAATTTTTGTTGGGTTATTGGTCTTTTTATTAGAGGCGGGAGCGGTTTATATATTTTGTATACAAGTCCTTTGTTCAATACATGCATTGCAGGCTAAAAAACAAACAAACAACAACAAAACCTTATTTAGTCTTTAAAATCCGACAGATACGTAGCTTTAGAAAATACTCAGCCCTTGGTTTATCTGTCTTCAATGCTGATGTAGCTGGCAAGCTGCCGCCTGACACCAAGACCAACCCCACACTAAAAGTTTTGTTTTTAATTGGCAAATGGTTGCCTTAGGACTCTCTGGCCGGAAAGTTGGGCAAGGACCCAAGTGCTCAGCCATTTGGCTCATAAACGTATTGGAACGCTGGGCTTGTTTCCTAGACGGAGGGAGGTGGGTCCGCAGCAGGCTCTACCTCAGCTCAGAGTCCACTCTGCAACTCCTCTGCTCAGGGTTGGAAAAGCCCGGAGGCATGCCGCGCATGCGCGAAAATATAGCCCTGTTGGGCCCCTCCCCCACAGCACCAGACGCAATGGCGTTGCTGTGGCAACCACAGTAAACGGAGTCCTTGAGCAGGAGTGACTAGAAACCAGCTGCGGTGGTGAACACCTCTGGTAAGTGGGCGCCAGCGGCCGGTCTGTCCCCACGAGTCCCCCTTAAATCTGGTAGCGACCCAGAGAGCAGTGAACCTCGCCTGAAGTTCTCTTAGTCGGAACTAGTGAGGGCCATTTTTCTTGGAGTACCTTTCCTGGCCCTCCTATGGTAGCCCAATGCAAACATTTGACGCAAGCAGTGCAGCTTAGACGTGTACACAGCTCCTGCTTGCAAGGAAGCGGCAATGCCAGGCAAGGGCCAGTCAGGTAGCCAGAGAAGAGTGAGATCGCCGTAGAGGGAAGAAGAGAGCCTGCTGGGAATGTGCCACCCCTGCCCACCCTTAGCTGTGAGTCTTGTCAAGGGGACCGGCCTCTGCACTAGTTTCTCTGTAAAACAAACAAACAAACAAACAAACAAACAAACAAACCCGCCTTCCTTTCCTTCTGCGGTTCTTGTTAGGGTCTGGAGGCCAGTGCAGGCCAAATGCTTACTATCTGGGGCGTGCAACCAAATGATGGTAACAGGCAAAGGCAGTAGGAAGCAAGTGTGCCTTGCGTTCAGTTAGTTGACTTCCTTGTGTACTTAGTAAGACACTTGAGGAAAGGGGCTACAGGGGGAGTAGGAACAGGGAAAAAGGGGGTGAGAGGCTGCAGTGACCTAGAAGCCCAGCATGAAGGACGTTTAGATCGTGCTCAAGTGTTTGTAGAAGAACCCAAGAGTTCTTGCATTGTTGTGTTATGGCAACAGAGTCACTCAGTGCTTTGCTCAAGAGCTGCACACTGAAAGCGCTTTCGGGAACACAAAGGGCAAAGGCAGAAACGGATTAGAAGACTGTCCAGGTGGCTCAGTGGGTTGAGGCATGTGCCACCAAGCCTGACAACCTGAGTCCCATTCTTGGCACCCTCATGGTGGAAGGAAAGAACCAACTTCCACAAAGTTGTCTCCTGAGCTCCACACATGTAACCCACCCACCCACAACTAAAATATAAACGTAACAAAAAGCTAAAGTTTTAAAGGTTTTATGTCTTTTTATTTTTTGTGTATGAGTCTTTGTTTGAAATGTATGTCTGTGTGCCACGCAGACATAGAACTCATGGAGGGTATAAGAAGGCATTGGATCGCCTAGGACTGGAGTACAGATGGTTGTGAGCTGCCAGGTGGGTGCTGGAACCCTGAAATAAGTCAGTGCTTTTAACTGCTGAGCCATATCTCCTCTCCAGCCCCCATGGGGAATGAATTAACATAGAATGGATTAGAAAATGGAAAGAAGCTATGAGGGTATCTATGGTGACAGGGGCAGTGAGTCAGCTACAACTTGATGGGACTAGGAGGGGGTGAATTCAGAAATCTTCTTAGCTGGACATCTAGGAATAGGTTAATGGAAATCGATTGCATGAGATGGGCCACAGGAAAGGATTTGATTAGTCTTTCTCACTCACAAATTATGATAATATAGTATCTTCCTCATGCATTAAAAACAAGTGAGGAATTTTTTTAGAACTGTGTGTGACATCAAATAAGAACAAAAACAATAAGCAAGCAAGCAAGCAAACAAACAAAAAACCCACAGCAAACTATTATTATTCTTCCCACCGTTATATTTCACAATGTAAAGTCAAAATTAAGTTAGTTTCCTATATCAGTTACTGGCCATTTAATAGGCCCAACACCAGCATACTGCGGAGACAGTTTGAGATTTGGGAGTGAGGATCGGACCCTGGACTCTGTTGAGTCCTATGTCTGGCTTCCAGCCAACCTTTTAGGACAGACAGTCCTCTGCACAATTGAGAACTGTTACTTTACATTTCCTTACTCAAAACTGGACAGTCTAGTTAATGAAGTGGTTAAAAGAATTGGCTGTAGGCTGAATCAATAAGCTTGAATATGTTAAAGGAAGACTTAACAACAATCATTCTGCAAATAGATTCCCAAACCTAGTTAGTCTCCGTTGGTCCTCTATTAAGCAAGACGTAATAGAAAACACACAGATAAGGATTGGTCATTCTCATTGCTCTATACTG